GTAACACGATCGCGTGAATTTAAGCGTACTACGGGATTGGTTATTAGGTGTGATTTTTTTTAAGTAAAGTTCATCCTGTACAAGGCTAGGAGGCCACTCAGGGTAGAGGGTTACAATATGGAGTAGTGTATATGGATAGGCGTGGAAGATAACGGTTAACTCTAGATTTGAACCGGTGAAGATTGTATTGATTGGGGAAACAACCTGTTGGGAGTCTGTTCCAGGGCAGTGGTTCGCGGGAAGAAGCTGTCTGAGTGGAACTTGCTTCTCGCCGATGGAATACGGTGGGAATGTTGGCGGTTCTCTATATGTGAATGTCATGGCTCGTCCTAGTCGTGAAGGATAGACCTGTCGGAACCAAGAAATGTACTTCGTCCGAACATTTTCCATAAATGTAGCGATAGAGGCTGGCCACATCCCGTCTGTGAAAGACAGGTTGGAAAATAATTAATAGTAATAAAAAAAATTAAATCGGATATATGGATGGTGGGAGAAGCGCAAGAAAGTATTAAGAAACAGGAGAATTTCGTTAGAAACAAAGAAAAGATTATTGACCCATGGCACAGTGGATAAAGGCGATAGTTAGATCCAGTGACAGGACCCAAATGAGTGTGAGTTCAATACCCGTTTAAGGCAGTGGAGAACTTGGAGAGGGGGAATTAACAGGCGATAACTGATAAATGACATCCATTAAACACGGCACTTGGAACTAGAAGGGTTCAATTCGACATTCCAACCACCTGAAGAAGGCCGGAGCGTACAACGGCCGAAACGTTGTAATAAATATGGCGACAAAGATGAGGACAATTGTCCGAATAATGTAAATAGTGTACATAATACATCTCAAAAATATAGACGGATACTGAGTATTGAAATATTATGTAATAACGGTCATTCCATAAGTCATTGAAACTTGGACTCATCATCGATGGTAAGAGACTCGAAGCAACAGAAACCTCGTCCTACAGAAGGATGCTGAGAATGCCAAGGATTAAACATGTGAGCAGTGATGAAGTTGTAGAGGTACTGGAAACAAAACGGACACTTATACTTAACATCAGAAATGACAGTTGAACATTCTATTGCCCATAATGAAGAAAGAGGGCTTGGGAAATTTGATACTCGCAAGGCAGTTTGAAGTGAAGAAAGGTAGAGAAAAGCAATGGATAACCTATCTAATGTACTTTTGATAATGGTTGGCAGACAGGTATTAGGAGTAAGGCAAAAATGCAAACATTACTAAGGGCTACAAAAGAGAGGAAGTTATGACGAGTTGTGGTGACCAACGTCCTGAATGGACACAGTGCATAGAAGAAGAAGAAGAAGAAGAAGAAGAAGAAGAAGAAGAAGAAGAAAAGGTTCAATTCGAAAGTTACTTGGACTGAAAAGCACCTGATGAAGGCCGGCGAGCACAATGGGAGAAACATTGTGATAAAAACAACAAAAATGAGGAAAAAAAATCCGAGGGTAAATAACGATAACTCCTCATCTCAGAAATTATCGTTTCTTCTTTCTTCTTTTATGTGCTGTGTCCCTTCAGGATGTAGGCGATCATGGCCCGCCACATCTTCCTGTCCCTTGTAGCGCTTAATAAGTTTTTGTCTTTTTATTATTTTTTACAAACCCCTGTTCTGCCATCGATTTGCTCAAGTTACGCGTTGCTTTCCTCTGTCCCTGTTTCCCCTCAATCTGTCTCGTGAGCATTAGATTTTCCAAGCCCTCCTTCCTCATCATGTGCCCCAGAAACTTCAACTGCTTCTTCCTGATGTTAAGTATAAGTTTCCATTTTGTTTCTATTTTGTTTCTATTTTCTCGAAAACTTTATCGTTTCTCACATGTTCAGTTCATGGTATCGTCAGCATCTTTCTGTAGAAGCATATTTCTGTTGCTTCAAGTCTCTTCTTCATCGTTTAGGAGATTCTCTTGTATTCGTTGCCATACAGAAAGACATATATCCCGTAACAGTCCAGTATTCTTTGTTTCCAACGAAACTTTTCTGTCTCTTAATACTCTGCTTAGCTTTTGGAATGCATCTTTGTTCATCCCAATACGTCTTTGGATCTCAGTGTCACATTTTCTGTCCTTTGTTAGAACACTTTCCAGATAGTTAAATTTCCCTGTTTGTTTGATCTTAGTATCCCCAATTTTTAATTTGCCTTTCACGCTCATTCTTTTGTCGATATCCATGCATTATGTCTTATAGTTTATACTTAGTCCTTTCCTTCGCTAACTTCTATCGGAACCTTTGTAGTTTCCTTGCCGTGTCTGCTATCAAAACTGTGGTCTGCATATTTGCATATCTTATATTGTTAAGTTTATATTTGCCAATAATGAATCCTTGTAGGTTTTCTTATTCTCTCAGAATTGCCTTGCTGGTTGAATAAGTCCGGTGAGACGATACATCCTTGTCTTAAATCCCTTTCTCTCTTTTTTATATGTGTTGAACTTATTTTCTCTCCATATGCAGGCAGTTTGCTGCCACTATAGATTCGTGAATATCCTAATATTTTTTCCGAATATGTCAAAATTGCTAACAGATTTTGGTGGTGTATTTTGTGGAACACCTTTGCGCTGTCTATAAAACAAGTAAGAGGAAGGGAGTTGCACAGACAGGAAGTGCGAGAGATGAAGCTATTGGAATAGAAAGAGACGGCTACATTTAACCGTTTCGACAGTGAAAGGGTGGGACTGAGATGTCAACCTAATAGCACTTTTAAATTCATGGAGTATGAGTCTTAGCGAAAGTAGCTCGTCGGGGCAGTTACCGTGAAAGTATTTCTAGAAAAGACAAAGGGAAGTAACGGCACGTCCGTGAGAGAGCGACTTTAAACGAGATGCTAGATCAAGGCTAATTGCATTGCTTATCCTGGATTTTGAATATTTAATTCTTTCTTTTTTTTAATTCTTTCATCTTGCTGTCCTTCACTACATTATAAGGAATCATTTGTAGGTTTTTTTTCCTTGTCTGCTATAAACACTGTGTCATCTGCTTATCTTATGTTGTTAAAATTATGGCCGCCAATGATGAATCATTGTAGGATTTCTAATTCTCTCAAAATTGCCTCGCTGTATAGGTTAAATAAATCCGGTGAGAAGTTACATCCTTGTTTTACACCCTTTCTATTTTTGTATATCTGCCGAACTTTCTGTAGAAGCATATTTCTGTTGCTTCAAGTCTCTTCTTCATCATTGAGGAGATTCTCCTGTATTCGTTGCCATACAGAAAGACATATATCCCGTAACAGTCCAGTATTCTTTTCTTTGTTTCCAACGGTTTTTTTTATGTCCCTTAATACTCTGCTTAGCTTTTGGAATGCATCTTTGTTCATCCCAATACGTCTTTGGATCTCAGTGTCACACTTTCAGTCTTTTGTTAGAACACTTTGCAGATAATTAAATTTCCCTGTTTGTTTGCTTTTCGTATCAACAGTTTTTAATTTGCATTTCACGCTGATTCTATTTGTTGATATATATGCATTCTGTCTTATAGTTTATACTTAGTCCTTTCCTTCGCTAACTTCTCCGTCCTGGGTATGACGATAAACTACATCCGCGTCCTGGGTAAGACGATAAACTACGTCCAGCAGCAAAGCCTCTGATCAGGAGGTTTTGAGGAGCGTGGAACCACCTCTTAATTGCTGGTGTTCCCAGGTCCACCCTGACCTGGGGTGGTAGTATCTGTTAGGGTCCCAGCTTTGGGCAAATAGTTAACACCCAGACTTGTTTAAAAATAGTTTTTAATACCAGAAATACTTTGTAATTAAAAAAAAAATATTACCAGCAATAATTTTTGAAGAAAAATTATTATCGGCAATAATTTAAAAAAATACCAGCAATACAAACAGCTATTGTTGAAACTTGACTAATGCATCGAATAATAATACAACACAAAATGTACTTAGAACAAAATGTATTGAAACAAGAAAGTGTACACAATATTTACATATAGTCTTTTGTATATTCTTGGGAAGACCGTTCCTGGAGAATGTGTTGACTTAGTCTCAGTCGGGCAGAGTCTCTGGATTGAATCTCTTGATTCCTTTCCTCGTCTTCCCGGTACCAACCATATTTATATGGTCGGTACTCCACTATGCAAATTAGGTGGATCCTACCACAACAGCTATACATTCTTTGGAAAAAATATGACCAGCTATAGATTTCTTCAAGGAAATATATGCCCAGAAATAGATTTTAGAAGAATGCCCAGAAATAGATTTTAAAAGAAAAACATTACCAGCAATAAAAAATATTGTCGGCATTAAATAACCCATTGAGGTGGTTATGCCGTAAAACAAACCAAACCAAACCAAACCAAACCAAACCTTCGCTAACTTCTGCTGGAACTTTGTTTACTTTCTCTGTCTGCTATCAAAACTGTGTGTTGCATATTTGCATATCTTATATTGTAAAGATTGTTTCTGCCAATAATGAATCCTTGTAGATCTTCTAATTCTCTCAGAATTGCCTCGCTATATAGGTTGAATAAGTCCGGTGAGAAGATACATCCTTGTCTTATACTCTTTCTATTTTTGTATATCTGCCGAACTTGGTTCATTACTTCTAAAATCTTCGATACCTATATGGAATTATTATCAATATTTTTTTTCAATGCAAGTATTCTTGAAAAAAAAAAAAAAAGAACGAAGGAAAGTAACTGACAAAGAGAAAGTGCCCGAGAAATTCTGACGTCGAAGTCGGCAGTGACGGTCAAGAGGTCGTCTTTAACGGTCACTGGAGAAGTTAAATCTGTTGGAATAAGTCGGCACCAGTCAAAGTTAATCCTCCGCGGACTATTCTGGGAATCAAAATTTGGATTAGGCAAACCAGATAAATCGCTTATCTCTAATTCTTGCCTTATCTTCTTCGCGTGCCCCAACCTCGTCGTATTTATCCGCACTCAAGGGGGGAACGGGAGAATCACATCAGATTTGACTTCGAATGCAATTAATCATGTTGTGGAAACCGTTGAGGTGCCCCTCCCCGGTTAAGATGTCAGGCTAATGTTTATTCTCACTCTTGTAAGGAGAAACAGCAAACGGCAGAATAATTTCTACAAGTGTATTTAATTTGGTGGCGCCTTGGTTTGGAACAATTGTTAGCGCATCAAGTCTTGCCGGCCATTAGCAATGAGTTCAACCCTCACTAATTTCCTGAACAGCATTAGACATTAAATATCCCAGTAACCTATAAATGTAGGGTAGATGAAAAAAAAAAGCTTCAATATTTAAAATTGTTAAAAAATTTATTAATTATTGGTTGATTTTCATAAAATATGTTTTTATTTTGAACAATATAACGGTAGAAATACTGTACGGTGTATGAATTTTGTATAGGCACTAGTGTTGTCCACCACCACTGTTTGTAATTGTCTAGGTATATCTTCGACTGATTTCTTCATTTCCTGTAAGTTTTTCACATTTTCTTCCGATGTGCGTGTTTAAGGAAGACACTTTTTTGGATGTCTACCATAGATGCCTTAATCATCAGCTTGTCAGGGAACCTCGAGGTGGCGTTATGGTTAGCAAGCTTGTCTCATTAGAACAATTACGGCTGAGTAGTGAGTTCAATCCTCACTGGGTGCCCCTTACTTTCGGCCTTGTGCCACAGACAAGCTACGCTTGGAAAATCACTATTTGTTGGGGCACCTCGGTGTGGTGTAATGGTTAGCAAGCTTGTCTCGCTAAAACAATTACGACTGAATAATGAGTTCGTTTCTCACTGGGTGCTCCATGTTTTCGGTCTTGTGCCACATCTAAGCTGCGCTTAGAAAATCACTAATCATCAGCTTGTCATGACAATTTTTCATTATTTCGGCATCTATTTCAAGGCCCATCAACACTGCGCCGCCATCTTTGCCACACGTCGTAACGAGACGCTAGCTGAGTACGCCCATACAATGTCGGGCGTTCTGGATGCTAATCTGAAATAAAAACAGATATTAACAATCAAATTCATCCCTTTTAGATATTACAATACACACGGTGCGACAGAAATATATCTTACATTTTAAATATACACCTTCTTCTTCGGCAATTAGTTGGAGACTCGTCTTCAGTTGTGCTGGTCGGACAGAGAGGAACCCAGACGAGGCTATGCCGAAGGGCAGAGTCTCATTTGGGCTGGTCTACAGGGAATTTTTGCCCTGCATTAAAAAAACGGCCTTGTGCCACATCCTCCCTCGCGGGGTGGTTCGGTAAATACCTTAAATATTCACCTGTTTAATGCTCAGGAACTAAGGAAAGTGGCAATGGTGTTTTCATCTAGCTAATGTTTTAGCATTCTCTTTCCTATTCGATCAGTTTCCTTCATGGCTTGGACTGGTGTACACTATGCGTTTGCTCTAGAAACGTTCTTTTTCTTTTTTTAAAGACAAGTGAATCTGTAATTGAAACAGGAAGAACTGTTCGTGCTCATTTTATTTTATGTTGGAATGATTCTGTTCCCGGTATCGATACTGCTATGGGTGGGAAATTTCAGGGCCACAAGTTGAGCGCTTAAAAGAAATCGACCTTTAAAGCCTAAAAGCGCTCAAACTTCCGGGTGGTGGAAAAATTTAGAAATTGTTTACAACAATCTGTCCTGCTACTTTACCCCTAGCTGTGGGATAAGAAGAAGTTTCATAACTTTCGCAAGGGTATTGTCATGGATCCGACTGGAATTCGAACTCGGCTCTCCGATTCCTCAATTCTTAAAAAGAAGTGAGACAATATTAAAATGGCGTTGAGCCAGCAAGTGGGTTTTATAAGCAAAAAAAGTGTTTCAAGAATGTAAACAGATTGAAACGATGAAGAATATTAAGAATATTGATAAAATACATGGAAATAAAGTCAACCTCATAAAGGCAGATACAGAGTGAGGCAAAAATATCTCCCACATTTTAAACTATTCCCAATAACCACCGTCTTTTTATATAGTTAAAAAATCTTGCCACAAAAACATTATCGGCTTTAATAATATTCTAAAATAGAACTGAGACAATATTGGAATGGTCGTAAGCAAGAAGGTGGATATGAAAAGAAATGTATTTGAAAAGCCGAGTGCTTATAGCAGACACAGAAAGGAAACTAAAATATCTGTGACAGAGAGAGAACGTTTTAAAATGCCGAAATCTTGAACATAGTCTAATGAAAAATGAAATTTGAGAACATTGAGAAAGTAAATCAATAAAAACATGTCAATTGTTGATAAAGTTCTTAAAAAAGATCGCGCGAATCCTATGATCTATCAGGGTCTTAGGGCCAACAGATGTCCTGCAGCCGCATTAGAAGTGCCTTTATCTTGGGCAGGATAGCCTGACGGAGGCCAAACCACTCCAGGCCGGTTTTGAATTCAGAGTTACTTTCTCCTAGACCGTGTGCTACCCAAGGCTACAGAACCCAGCCTGTCCTGCTATTACCTATAGCTAGGGGATAAGAAGAGGTTTCATACATTTCCCAAGAGTATTAGCACGTAAGTGAATATAATGGATCCGACTGGAATTCGAACTCGGCTCACCGATTCTTCAATTCTTAAACAGATCTGCGACAATATTAAGAACATTGTTAAACGACATGTAAATAAACAAAGCGTCACCGTAGAGCCAACCTCATAAAGGGAGATACAAAAAAAGGGAGTGCGGCAAAAATATATCCTATATTTTAAACTATCACCTGTAGCAATGGTGTCTTTATTTAGCTAATGTAATACGATTTTTTTTTCAGATACCATCAGTTACCCTCATGGTTTGGATCGGGGAACACCATGCATTTGCTGTTCAACCCTTTTTTTTAAAGACTAGTGAATCTGTAGTTACAACACAAAGAACTTTACGTTCTCATTTCATGTTATGTTGGGATGATGCTGTTCCGTATCGAAAATCTGGTATGGGTCGGAAATTCCAGGGTCACGAGTTAGGCGTTTAAAAGAAAGCCAACTGAAAGGCGTCGATGCGCTCAAACTTCCGGGTAATGGAAAACTTCAAAAAAATATAAGGTGAATAGAGGCCACTATTTTGATTTTAAAACTAAAGAAATAAAAATTATAGCCCTCTGTTTAAACAATAGGGATGTAATTTTTTAATAGCTAATACTGCGGGGTTTTTTTTTTATCAATCTTTAAAATGGAGGATTCATTTCTGTTGAACACAGTATTTTGTTTCATGCAAATGTGGTAAAATTACCAGAAGTTATAAGTAATTTTCAACAGGGAGTATCTTTCCGCCCACTCTGTATTCAGTATTCTGTTTGGCAATAAAAATATTGATATTTATTGAAAATATAGAAATGCATCTTCTTCAATTGTAGCACTCCGCAGCGTTCTGCATTTTCTAGCTTTAACCTTTGACCATTTAACACTCCTCTTTTTCCTTTTTATACTAACTAAAAAAAAAAAAACACCTCAAGTAAGATTCGCAGCTTTCCCTCTGTTTATTTAAAAGGCTGATAATTAATTTACTTTAATGACTGTCCGGTTATATTATACAAAGTGCGGCATAAACTTTTATTTATAAATCCAAAATATGTGGACTAAAGAAATATATATTTAATTCATATATATATATATATATATTTATGATAACCATATATACATTTTTATATATAAAGTTTTATATATCAAGAACAGTTTTGATAGAAAGCATGCAAGACAAATTGGAAAACAGTTTTTTTGTTAGAACTTCATTGGGCTGTGTTTATTGACGTTATTGTGACTACACCTACGAGAGACGCTAAGAGTTTCAGAATTTAGAAATAATTTATTTTTTGCAATCTAGCCAAGCTTATTTTCTAGCCAAACTTATTTTATTATTTTTTTCTTTACGTCATTTTTGTTATTAAATATCCCATATTGTGATAACACAATCTGTCAGGAATGAGGAAAAAACTATTTCTAAATTTTGAAACTCCCATCATCTCTCGTTCGTGCGCATGTGCAGTTATAACAACGTAAACAAACCCAATCCAATGAATTCCTAACGGATGAAACGTGTCACAAAAACTTTTTTTCCAATTTGTCCTACATATATATATATATATATATATATATATATATATATATATATATATATATATATATATGTATATAATATATATATTAAATTAAAATTGGGAAAAAATATTGTTCCTCCGCTACACAAGAATTACATATCACATACTTTTAAATCTATTAATTTATTATATTTATACTCTGTAAATTTACATTGAGCTCTGTTTTGTAAAAATAAAAATATCAATAAGAACACCGGATTATATATCTTACTGCTGTTTCTTTTTTTTTTTTTTTATATATATATATATATATATATATATATATATATATATATATATATATATAGATATATGTCTGTGTGTCCGTGTGTTTTTAGGATGCAATCGTTTTTCCATGCACATTTCATTGAATACGACAGACAAGGAGCTTTGATTTATTTTTTTATACAATTTCTCATGTGACCTAATATATTTTATCTTTTCAAATCATAAATTATATAAAAACTGTCCACTTTTTATTATCCGAGCGCTTTCGGCTATACATTTAGCCATTTTCAAGGTTGAAATATATTAACTGTTACCAAGAAATAGTTTGTTATATGTATGTATTTATATAATGTTTTCATTTTCAAAACACGGTCAAGATATTGTGTCCATGTTCATAGTAGATATTGAATGTTATTGTTTTCTTTTTATTTTTAAAACCTCCATTATTTTAGCGTTTTTTGCATGTAGATGATGTTATTATATTAGTGTTGTCAACAAGTATGTTATGAACAGTGTCCGGTAGCTCTCCCTGAATACTGAAATGAGATCTAATTGAACTATGGTCAGAAAAGTGTAGTGCATGTTTTCGTGTCAAACATGTTGAAGTATGGCTTGTATAATTATTTACGAATTTTGATTGGCCAGGAATACAAGTTCTTAATGGTCATTTAAATTTGTGAATAATGTTTGCTCTATTTAATTTTTACAAGCGCTCGGATAAAAAGAACAATTGAACAGTTTTTATATAATTTATCACCCGAAAAGAAAAAAATATTAGATCCCATGAGAAATTGTATAAAAAACTAAAACAAAACACCTTTATCTATCGTATTCAATTAAATGTGCATATATATATATATATATATATATATATATATATATATTTATTAAAGAACATTTTTATGTTTTAACGTTTTTTTATAAGTATTTAGAATGCTCTGTTTTTAAACAGTATTAAATAACATTTACTTGGCCTGAATGTAAAAGGACGAATATTTTCTATGAAAATTTCTCGGACATTCAGGCCGGTAAATGTTATTTAATACTGTTTATCATAAACAGAGCATTTGCTTTTAAATACTTGTATCTATAAAAAGAACGTTAAACATAAAATGTCTTTAATAAATAAATTGGGGCTTAATTTGTCCATTTTATATATATATATATATATATATATATATATATATATATATATCAAATATGTGGTGCAGTTTAATTAATATTACAATGAATCATTTATACAAAAGTAGATTAGTAACGTTAATGATATAAAATGGCGAAATCCCTTCACAAACAAAATTTTAAAGGTGCATTAACCTACAAATCACTCGATGAATGTTATGATCCTTGTTTTTAAAAATGTGTGTGTGAAAAGTGTATATAAATATAAATAAATATATATATGTATAATTATTTATATATTATATGCGCGGTACTTCTGCATATATCGATGTTTGCGTTAGTACGATGAATGACAAAACGACGAAATTTCCCCCACCACTTCCACAATAACACCAATACACGCAATCTACATAAACCCAAATTTTTTTAAAACATTAATCAGTTTGTCTGACGATCGCTAAAGCGTGAAACCCAGGGTCACAAACTCACATCTATCCAACCAAATATATATATATATATATATATATATATATATATATATATAACACTATTATTTTATTATTTCAAATATTAATATAGGACATTTCATAATATCATTGATCTGTTTATCTTGTTAATTTTTCAACTGCCTTGAAAGGAAAGTTAATTGTAACAATTTTTATCGCTCCGCAGCGTTCTTCGTTACTTCCATATTGCTTTTCAGCTTCATATAAATTCTTGTTGCGGGTAGTGTAAAGGTTATTGGTGCGAAAAGTGGAATCTTCGAAAAGAGTTCCGATTCTGGGAAAAAGGATTAATTTCTTTCTTTTCACTGTACAAGCAGGTTAAGCCTCAAGGTGGACTGTCTTCTCTTGGGTTGGCCGAGAAACGGCATGGGACATAGACTAATTTTTGTACAGGTTATCAACGTCATATTTACGGCTGCTTATTTAAAACCAGAAAATATATTTTGATTGTAAGATGTTTTTTTTTAAATAATACTGACTTACTGATAAAACTCCTATAGCTTGGATGAGGAGAAAAGATGGAATCATGACTTTCCCAAGGATATGTGCGCGTAAGTTAACATAAGGAAAGCAACTGAAATTGGAACTTAGTTCTCCAATTTTCAATATCGAGCCTTTACCCATTACACCATCCGCACATCCAACTTTACAACACCTGGTAATCCTAAGCGGCCACATATCTTAGTAGAAACTAGGTTCGTCATTGCTTAACTAGAGAAAGCAGTCTAGGAGAAGGATTACTCTGAATTTAAAGACGTGAAGAAAGCACTGGGAAACCATTCAGTTATGTTTTCCTCCACCAAATCGTACCGACTCGTGAAGAATAAAGAAAAGGAAATCGTGGAGTGCCATGACCATTCTAGATGGATCAGTTTGCTAAAGTAACTTACCAACAAGGATCCTGATATCAGCTTTCATCTCGGTATCTATACTGATGACTATTTATCGATGTCATAATAAATTCTGATCTTTTCAAAAAAGGTCAAAATCGTATCTGATCTAAAAAAAAAGGGTGTACAATCTGTTGTTAACTAGGGCAAGAAGTGGCCTATTGATTTTAACACTTCCAAAAATGAAACTGATCTCTTTTAATCGTCTTATAGAACCTTTTTAAAACTTCCATCAACCTCGGAAGAAAGACTCATTGCGCCTTCTCGGAGTAACGTTTTCCGATGACATAAAGTATAACAATTATATTGAATTAATTGCTAGGACTGCAGCAAAGGAAATTGGTTCACTGTGTCGTGTTAGACAATTTCTCTCGGCAGAATATATTCTTTAGATTAAATCTATAATAGTGTCTTCTCCCGATAAAAAAGAAAATGTACCGGTCAAGGCATTTATCTAGAATACATCATCACATTAGAAATAGGTTATAATCTTATTGTAGACAATTGTAGTTAGAAACATTAATCTACGTCTTAATTATTTTTTAGTCGTAGACTTTTAATTGAGTTCGATTCGTCCAATGTAACTCTATATTCAACATTAAAGGTGTCTGTTGAATTTACATTGTTTCTTACATAATTTTATGAAGTCTATTTAAAGATGGTAATGGGATTGCTTCCATCTCTTTTGGCAATGTTGGAAATATTCTAGTTTTTTTTCCTGACTTTTTCGCAATACAAAATTCTTGAAATTT